AAACAACAAAATGCTTACAAAATAGTAGTATGTAATCTGATTTTATAAAATTCTAATAAACAAAAATACGAGATATGATTCAATACAATATGCTAACATCATTAGCATTCTCAAAAAGTTAACATCATTACCCTATTAAAAAAGATGGCAATCACAGTTGACCAACAAAAAGTATTACAAAATATTGGATTCATATCTGAATTTGCTTCTGTGACCGCAAGTTGTCCCAAAAATATCACGAAATCAACTCGATGGCAACTGAAACATCTCCGACAGAATGTCATCCAATAATGTCTTCAGCTCGCTGGAGAAGCTTCAAAACATTTCTGGCTTTTCTTTTGGCCCTGTCGGTACCATTCTCTGACAATTCCTTCAATGCCTCTTCTGCTCCAAGCTCACTGGCAACTTTCAAGTATTGTGAATCACCCAGTGCAAAGTGACCATAATATCGCTGCAACATTTTCCCGGTTGCGTGGCGAACCTGTCTTAATCACCTCAATCAAAATAGTGATTGGCTCAGCTTGCCCAATTGCTACTTTCCCTTCTTGATGGCTAGCAAGAATAGCCAATATTGCTAGAGCTTCGTCCACCATTCCTCCTCCGGGATCCTTGAGCAATCTCATGAGTGGTGGTACGATTCTCGCCCTTACAGCCCTCACCTTGTTTCCTTGATAGATTAAAAGGTTAAATATAGCAGTGGCCGCATCCTTCTTTCCTCTTGGAGTCCCATGACAGAGCAAATCAATCAGAGGTGGGATGGCTCCAGCTGCTCCTATCGCCACCTTGTTCTCGTCTAGAACCGATAAGCTAAAAAGGGTTGCTGCTGCATTTTTTCTAGCCTCCACGCTACCCTTTTTTAGCACGTCCAATTGCGACAATTTCCTTATTTCTTAGGTATCTCAACACCATTACTCTCACACCATAAAGCAATAAGACTCTTTAAAACATAATTCGGTGTTAAGGCTGTGTGGAATAGCGTCTGCTGAGTCTTAGGACAAGTCTTGTGACTTGCATTCAGCCATTTCTCAATGCAGGACCATTCGTATGTCTGCAAAAGAAAACAGTAACTGAATAACAGTCCTGAACTAAAGAAAGCACTACATCATAGATGTAACCCGGAATTTAACCTGTCCAGTAGACATAATTACAGGATCTTTCATCAACTCAAGAGATATTGGACAGCGGAAATCATCTGGGATGACCGGAGATCTGTGCTTAAATGAACTCTTGTCAACTTCATGGGCATCAGGGACTGGATTTTCCTAAGACTCACCTGCTTTCCACTTTATAATACCATGATCCATACCTCTTTGTCTTAACTAGAGCCGGTGAGGGAATATTCCTATTCTATATATTTTTTAAACCATTCCTACTCTAATTTTGTTATTGTCAATAAGTTTTTCTTTCTACAACAAAAATCATAAAGCACACTTAAAATAGACAGCTGAGTTATTAGTTATCACGTTGAAATGAACTAAAGACAGACAAATACTATTTAACCACCTGTAGATGGGAAAAAATCCATTTCAAAGCCTAGCAAGTAACCCAAGTTTCAGCTTAAATAAGTGAATGAACTGCACTAGAATAGTCACAAAAAAGATACAGCATGTTCAGACCTTCCATACAACCACATTCCCCACAGTGGTCTGCCCCTGCTTGTACTCCAATTGATAAGTACACTTGCTTCATCTCCTAACTTATATTATTCAAGTTGAACACCCAATCACATGATATTCTACATTCAATTCCAGCCATAAAAGCAGGTAAACCAAAAAATAACTCCTGTGTCTAATTCAATGAAATAGGCTTTAAAAAATGATAAACCGAATTGTTTTCAACACTTTTTCATTGATCACTGACTAAGTATTTATACAACAATTTTATAACATTTTTTTCTAAAAACTAGTATTTATGATAACTTTAAACTATAAAAATGAGATAATATCTTGAAATTCAATCTACAGAACAACAATAATAAACTCAGAAAGATATGCTGTTGTGCCCCCTCATCATATTGGGCTCGGGAGCGGAGTCCGATCTTGAATTTGAGCTCAAGAAAGCATGCACGAGGGAGTGGTTTTGTGAGATTATCAGCTAACTGATCTCAGCTGACGATACACGAGAAACACATAGAGTACCACTTTGAATTTGATCACATACGAAATGAAAATCAGTGGTAACATGCCTCATTATTGAATAAAAACTGGGTTGAAACACGATTGATTGGCGCCAATGTTATCACAATAAATCACATGACTTGAGGATACCTTAACGCAAAGATCAGATAAGAGATAGGAACCCAATTGAGTTTAGAAGTGGTATTGGCAACAGAATGATATTTAGCCTCAGTTGAGGATTGATTTACGGTTCTTTACTTTTTAGAACTCTATGATACTGGATTTTGACCAAGATAAACAACATATGCACTTGTATAGGAAAAGTAATCTTTATCGCCAACCTAATCACCATCAAGAGAGGAATCACAGTATAGACAAGTCAACCCATCATGAAGAGTGCCACACAAGTATCGTAAGAGCTGCTTAACACGTTCAATGGTCACTAGTTGGTGATACATGTACTCTGAGAGTCCAAAAGCAATGTCGGGTCGTATGAATAAGAGATATTGAATACTAACAACTACAGTACGATACGCATTAGAATATGACAAGGAAGAGTCTAAGGTCAATGTAAGTCGTACTAGTTGGCAAAGGAGTAAGAATTGGCTTCGAGTCTTACATGTGGGCTTGGGTGAGAATGTCACAAATGTAGCGTCGTTGAGAGTGCAACAGCCATTTTTATTAGGAACAAATTCGACACCCAAAAAGTAATTTAGTAAGATGAGATCTTTAAGAGAGAACATTTGAGAAAGTACAACCACAAATTTACTAACCATAGCTATACTACAGCCTGTAATGATTACATCATCAAATATAGACTACGAGATACATAATGTGATCAGTATTAGTAAGTATAAAAAAGAAGAATCAGCATGAAAATTCTTAAGGATAGAATGAAGTAGAAAGGTACGAAGCTTATGACACCACCCCGAGGGGATTGTTTAAGGCCATAAATGGATTTGCAGAGTTTGAACACATAAGATGGATAATCTGAATCAACAAAACCCTACGATTGAGCCATGTAGACATGTTCAGAGAGATGATCTTGAAGGAATGCACTGTTCACATCAAGTTGGCATAATGACACGTCATTGCTCATCGTTATACTAAGGGCCTGTTTGGCATAGTTTTTACTTTTGCTTCCTAAAAAGGAGTTTTTGGAGGAAATTATCTCAATTTTTGTTTCAAAACTAATTTTTAGAAGGGCTTCCTCTTCCAAAAGTACTTTTAAAGGAAGGCTTATTGGACTAATTTCCTCTAAAAGTTCTTTTAACTACCAAAAACACTTTCATAAAATTAGTCAAACGGATTCAAAAACAGCTTTTGGGTCTCAAAAGTTTCTTTTGGCTATTGAAACGTCATGCCAAATGGGCCCTAAGAAAAATATGAATGATAGTCAGGTTAACAACATGGTTGAATGTGTCATGGTAATCAATGCTAGGACGTTGATGAAAACCTTTAGCTACCAAGCGAACTTTAAACTTATCAATATAGCCATCAAATTAACGTTTAGTTCAAAAAATCCACTTACGACAAATGAGATTTTGGTTGGAATTAGGTGGAACTAGCTTCTATGTTCCATTTCTACTAGAGCATCATATCTTCATACATAACTCGACACCATGTGGCATCTTTTAGAGCTTGAGTCACAATGGTGGTTGGTTCAAGATGACGAATTGAGATAATTGGACATGGAGGTTTATTTTTTTTAAGAGGCTCGTGGATGTTTTTTTTGGCCCTAATGGTTATATCGTGAGTACATAGAGGAGGTTTTATAGGTGGATCAAGGGGCGAAGGTGGCATGAATTTTTTGGGAAATGAGTGAGTGAACGGTGAAGGTGGAAGTAAAGCTATGAGGGAAGAGACGGAATCGAGAGAATGTTGGCAGGCTCTAATTTCAGATGGCGTGTGAAGTGGCGGTACCACAGAGAGCAAGGTGACTCAGAATGGTCGAAGAAACCAAGTGGTGATGGTTTGTGGTGGAGGCGAGGGCGAGGGCGAGGGGCTTGATGAGATGATTGAAAGAGAACATAGAATTGACAAATTTTACATGGAGAGATACATAGATTTTGGAAGTTTAAAGCTCAAGACAATAGTACACGCTTTGAGTTAAAGAGAAACCAAGGAAGACACGAGGTTTAGAGCGGGAGTAAAGCTTGTGGAATTTATATAATCATAGCAAGGGATAACATAGACATCAAAAAATTCGTAGTTTCACGTAATTAGGAGCTATTTTAAATATTCTTTCATATGATGAGGAGTGGTGTAATATTGGTGTTGGCATGTGATTGATTAAGTAAACAATAGTAGCAAAAGCATGAGAACAATAAGCTAGAAGGGGTGTCGTCTTTCAGCAAGACCATTGTGTTTGGAGGTATGGAGAGATCTGGTTAAATGGAATATACCATTAATTGATAGAAAATTAGAAAAAGAGATGTATAAAGTCTATGATCGTCAAAGTGTTTTCCGCAATAGCTTTAAATCGAATAAAAATATCTTTCAAGTTTTTTATTTTTTTTTTTTTTTTATAGGATAGAACCATATATAATGTGTATAATAATCAATAAAGAAAACATAGTACTTAAAGCCACCATGTGAAATTAATGGTGAAGTCCACAGAATATAGTTTCAAGTGGGTAAGATGAGACAAGTGTTGAGTTGAAAAAGATAACTTGTAGCTTTTATTACTGAGACGAACATGACATGAAATTATATCCAAACAGAGGTTTGATGATAAAATGTCACTTTGATGTTGAACTAACCTTCTCCAGCTGCTTTAACAGCTAAAGTCTGTATTTGCTGGGAGACTTGCTTCATTGCCTTGCTTCCAAGAGAACTAGCAAGAGAAACCTCTTTAAGAGTTGGATAAATAGCCTCAAATCTTTCATTGGCCAGAAAAAAAAAAAAAAAAAAAAAAAATTGCATGCAGAGGAAAAAATCATTCACTTTATAGGAAAATGAATACTATTAATGCAAATTAAGAGAGAAAATTATCAAGCAAAGCTACTATTGAGAGCGTAAATTTGCATTACCTATGAATGACACAAATTGGTAGCAAAACATTCAGGATGCATATCGATTAATTTCAATCTATTCTTAAGACATTAGGAATTAAAAGGGGGAACATGAACAGTGTAGGGAACAATAGATTTGCACACATATTTTAACTGTAAATCACAAACACATTTACCTATAAAATGTATGACACTATCTCAATACGTCTTACTGAACTTTACAATGTTGTTAGCTTTATATGTCAAAACTTGTGTTAATTTATAACTATAAATGTACTGGCTTCCATGGCAAATCCTATACAGATGATCGATCAAAGAAAAAAAAAACCATGAACATTTTCAAGGCAAATCATGAAGGCCACTCATTCAAAAATTTCACTTGGAAACCATGTACACACGTAATTGCTACAATATCAGAGGATAGATATAAAAATAAAACAACCATGCACAAGGTTATACATCATGAGAAACAAACCAAGAACATGAGAGTTAAACTACCTACCACATTTTTGGCAGTGAAAGAAGTTTTCATGACCACCAACTCTGTGAATCACAATTTATATCAGGACAATTATTCATTCTATAGAATATCAAAATAAAAAGCAGCCCGATTGTTAGCTCTTTTACCTACAAATCCCGCAGTCATTACAGTGAAACTGCTCTTTGGAGGTCTACAACATAAACAGACCACAAATGTCATTAAACGAGCTGCATACATTAAGTAGAGATGTTATCTTATTTTTCAATTCTGAAATTAGTGGTTAAAGATTTTTAATTGATCTTCTATATTGAAACAAGATTATTGGATCACCATTTTTACTAAAAAAAAGAATAAGAATATCATTACATCATCATCATAGAATTTGCAAATGTTGCATAAGTATTCCCCAAATTTGACACTGCAATTTGAACAAATATTAGAAACCTACAAATAAATGGAAAATGAACCATAAAACGTCAACAGAACCATAAACCTAGTGCTTAATATGACATAAAAAATGAAGTTTGAATAAGCAGATATTACGTGTTGTTCTGTATCACATACTGCACAAATAACCTAGAGAAAAGAGACCAAAATTTTATCAAGATCAGGCTCAGCATAACTTCAAACTAAACACTAACACTACAAACCAGAATGAAGAAAAGATGTATAAACTTACTTGCTTAACCTCATGCCGGACAAAATCTTAAGAGTAATAGTCACTTGAACGATAATCTTGTGGTGAATTGAAGAAAAAATAAATTAATGAAGGTTATGGAAATGTGGCTTCATTGTGACAATGGCGGCAAGTGAAAATCTGGTTGCAACAAGGAGCTCGTAGTTTACACCTTCTCCTATAATGGCCGCACCTATTCCACCCACAAATTAAAGAGTGCAGAGAATTGTGATTATGTCGAGTTACTAAACTAAACGAAAAAGAAAAATAGTAAAAAGGAGAGAAAAAACTCAACCCAATAAGCAATTTTCCGAAATCTTCTTTGGAAATACCATTAATGCTATTGGCACCACCACTTTCGGCTTCTTTTAGTTTCGGGTCAACGGCGGTGACGTCGTGCTCCTCCATTAACGGTCGTCAATAGCTGGTGGCTCTGCAGTAACCACCAGGCAAAAACAAATAAAAATCAATCATTTGGTTAACTTCTAATATATGCATTATAACAAATATTTCGTGTGTATCTTTCGGCTTTTCGCAACGTTTGGCAAACATTGCTAAAAGTTTTATTTTTCTCAACGTTTGTCAAACATTACGAAAAGTGAGACTTTTAGCAACGTTTGCCAAACGTTGCGAAAAATAAAACCTTCCGCAACACTCAACAAACGTTGCGAAAAGGGGTCTACTGCAACATTTGTCTAAAAAACGTTGCCAAAACTCATTTATACTAACCAATGGCAACATTCACTTACTAAAATGTAGCCAAAAGACCCTTTTAGCAACATTTATCAACAAATGTTGCATTTTTAATGTTGCGAATGACTCTTTTTGTTGTAGTGTTATATACGACCACTGACGATTTAAGATTTAGTCATATATAATTTGTATCTCATAATCACCACTCTTTGTGATTAACAAACTACCAAGACTTGAATCTACAAATTCGACATTGCCATAAATATACATAAATTATATATTAAAAGTATTTATGTTTAAAGTTAATTGGGCGTATGACATAACATAGTAGCACATGGAATATATATAGAGTATCTTTATTGTGTATCGTATGTATGACAGTACAAAATATTCGTCCAAGAATGTACGGAATTATAATGTTCATAACTATTTGCTTTACTTTTGAGCCTATTACAAATTCCAAAATAATTTTAACCTTTCTCCCTCTCTAAGTCTTGGTCATCGTCCCATTCTCCGACAGTTCTCTCTGCAAATTCAGCGATCTTTTTCAATCTATGCGATGCAATATGATCAGACGGTGACTAACATTTTGCTGTGATCTAATTAATATGGTAATTGTGTTCTAACCTGCCTCATATTTTCCTTTTATAATATTAGTAATTAGATCAGATATGAAAATATTTGTAGAAGTAGAACCTTATATTGCTTTTTCAGACTGCACCGAGTGAGTTAAATTTCATGTAAAATTGTATTTTGATCTGTTGATCTTTGTGCGGAATACATAACTATGAACTTACGACTCGAGATTTTGATACTTTACTATTTCATATTTTAAGTGCAAAGAGGAATTACTTATGAAATAGTTCAAAGAGTTTACCGCTTTAAGTGATTATTCTTTATCTGTAAATAAGAAAAATTCAAGAATTTTTTTTTTTTTTTTGTGTGTGTTTGGTCAATGATGGGATTAATTATTTTAGAAATAGTTCTTACCTTGATAACAAAGCCAATAATATTTTTGTGTAATGATATTCATCATTTCTCGTGATAAGTATATGTCTAGTTGACAAATTCATTTAAATGAAAAGTCACGCGACTCATTTTAATCACCTTAACGGGTGATTACTTAATATTTTTAACTCAAATGAAGTAATATATTGAAACATGTTTTGAGATCATTGGTATATTTACCAAATGCCAAAATGATTCCGCACAACCATCCACAATTCTTCGCAATAAGAATCGGAAAAAACAGAAGTAAACATTCTTGGGAACTTACACAAGTTACTTCGAGAATAGAAAAACACTAATTACAGTGACAGAAGCTCAATTACAAACTACAGTTTTGATCGAAATTTAGTAACTTTCACTGCAGTTCGCATGAAAAGAATTGAAGATCAACAAAATGGGAATTCTGCAAAGTATCTACAGATTCTTGGGCAGTAATGGAGAAGATGAAGAAAGTTCAGGGGAAGTGTACCCCATCCTTGATCATCACCGGAAGCCCAGTAATGGAGGTTATTTTCGCGCATCATTGAGTAATATTTTTAAGAATCTACTGCGGAGGATCTCCAACATACTTTTATTGGCAAAGGTAAGAAAACCAGAACCTATACTTCCAGTAGTAAATCCTGTAGTATCAACCAGAAATAATGTGCTTTTGCAAATCCAAGAGATCTCTTCTCCTAGTTCAGATTTATCTTTGGATTCGAGCCCAGGTGCCACATATGTCCCCCCTTCAGATTTGGAGTGGCAGAGGAATTACTCAGACATAGAAATTGAATCACATATTAACGTTGATACATATTCTCCTCCTTCAGATTTGGAGTGGCAGAGGAATTACTCAGACATAGAAATTGAATCACATGTTAACGTTGATACATACTCTCCTCCTTCAGATTTGGTGTTGCAGAGGGACAACTCAAGTTCAGAAAATGAAGTGTATGCTAATGCTGCATGGCGGTAAAAACCGCCGGTTTCTTCTGCAATCCGGCCAGAGTCTGTTGAGGACGAAGATTCAAACTATATTAAACAGCTGGATGTGATAATTGATGTACCAACCGTTAGTTGCTCTCTTGCCCACAAAAACGCGTTTGACGTAGTGGATTCTGCTGTTTTAATTGAAAACGAGACCAATCAGCTAGGCCAGAATGACTCTGGAGATAAAGCTGAGGAAGAAAGGGTGATAAAGTGTTTGGTGGTAGAAGGGAAATGGATAAAGCACTATAATAGTTACCACAGGATACTGCTTGTGGGTGAAGGAGACTTCTCTTTCTCTGCTAGTTTGGCTGTGGCTTTTGGTTCTGTCCCCAACATGATTGCAACTTCTCTTGATTCTGTTGGTAAGAAATTTTCATAATTTGTTTGTCTTTGTGAATTTTAGTGTACTAGAATAGTTAAATCAATTCGGTAAACATATTTTTGATTGTCCCATTTGAATAAAGTTCGAAAAAAAAATAAAACTTGAACTAATACCATGAAAAGTGTAATGAGCAAAGCGATAACCGATATATTGTTGAAAATCTTGTGCAAACCTCGTGTTTTTATTGCATTGATGTCATTCATAGAGTATGAAATCCATCGACTAGGATGCACCAAGAGAGAATTTGTACGTAATATTTGACCGTGGGAACCCCTTATTGTTTTTATATTTCAAGTTTTATGTTACATTGTGGGATTTTCAGATTTTCTGAAGAAAAATTATAAGCGTGCAATGTCCAACATTGGGAAGCTTAGGAGTAGGGAGTGCATTGTGATGCATGGGATTGACGCTACAAAAGTTGCAAGTCATCAATTGCTTGGAGGAATGACATTTGATCGGATAATTTACAACTTTCCCTTTGCTGGATTTTTCAAGGACTTAGCTCGCGAGGCTCAATTAAGGTTATTTTGTTTTATAATTCTTTCGGTTAATGACTTTGTTTTTTGACTGGTTGTAATTTCGTTGATATATATCTTTCATTTAAAGACATCTTTTCTTTTCATCATCTACAGAAAGCACAGAAGACTCGTGAGTTTGTTTCTTAAGAATGCTAAAGAAATGATTGGTGAAAATGGTGAAATTCACATAACCCACAAAATCAACGATTTTCATATAGAATGGAAGTTAGAATCAGTGGCTTCTTCCCACAGGCTTAGGCTCATTGAGGCTGTGGAATTCGATCAGTCTGATTACAAAGGTTATAGCACAAAGTGTGGATTTGGGGGTGACAATAATTTCAATTGTTACCCTAGCAAAACCTACAAGTTTGGTCTTAAAAGGGCATAATTTCATCTGTTGAGTTAGTCACTTGATACGGTAAAGAGAAAATAAATACATCTGTTATGTAAATATTATTTCCAATTCGCGAGTGTTTAAACAATGGGACAATGTTTGAATTTGGTGTCGTCTTCTTATTATATCTAATGTGTTGAATTTCACGCACAGCGAGCCCTAATATACTTACATGTAATATAAAATTATATGAAGTCCGCATTTTTTTTTTAATTTTATTGAGGATACACTTTTGTCCTTTAATTTGTAGAAAATGTTAAATAATTTCGTAGTCAATGGCTTGATATCCCTGGAAGTACTATTCAACCCTCTTTCCCACTTAATATATATATATATTTCTTGAACATAGACTTTAAAGAAAAAATTTAAAATGCAAATTGTATGAAGACGCCAATGGTCTATCCGTGGAAAGAAACAAATGTATTAAACAACATATGAATTTTTCATTTTTGCAAGAAGTATGTTGCCTAACAATATGGGACTGTATGTTCTCCCCGTTGAATCCAGCACAAGGAAAGCTGAAAATAACGCGAATGAACTTTGATTCTTTGAGATGATCAGCATGCCATTTAAGTTTTATTTGTTTACCTCTAGTCAATGTCTTCTTTAGTGATGGCAAAAAAATCAGTCCCGATGGGTTGGCGGGGTGGGGAGGGATCGCCGCCCCGTCTCGAATCTTCCCCGCCCCGAACCTGCCCCGTGAAGAATTAATATATATATATATATATATTAATTAGTATTGTTATTAGAGAAGGCATTATTTTGTATTGTTATGAACCAACCCGATATCAAAGACATTTTGATATCACTTGTTGAGAAACTAACCAAATAATTAAAGGCTAAAAATTATGAACAATATGAAATTTAATTATGATTCATAATTACATTTATTACAATTGATGGCCATAATTATCTATTTGTGTAAAACTTAAATTATTCTTGCATATATTTATGACTTAGATGTCTATTATAACACAACTGTAATTAGTTGGGCATTATTATCTAGTAATTTTCCTCAATAGTCAAATAATCAATATTAACCATATCTTTCATGGGTTAATATTGAGAATTTGAGAATTTTTAATTTATTATTGTGTTTGTATGTACGAAAATTTAACTTTGGATTAATGATCATTAAATGGATCAATTAGAGAGATACATAC